TGCAAACGCTGATGTGATAATACAAAATATGATCGGCAAAATGATCGACATGTGATATAAGTATGTCCACCCTGCTGATGTAGATAGCCTATATTTCGACGTATTTTAACGTGGGATGAAGTGCAGATATTATGCTATGCTTTTTGTTTTTTTATTGTTGCTTTTGTGAAATTAAATGATTCTGAGTATACCTTTGTCAGGAACATATTTTCAGACGAAAAAATGAATGAGAAGGTTGATATACATATTCCAAAGTAAGTCCATCTTTAATCAGTATACACTCTTTTCTATCATTTGTAAGCTAATAGATTTCAGTCACAAAAATACGAAATCATTAAGCACGATATATCTTCGGAGACAATTTTAATCCATAGGTGGATTGTGCGATCATATAAGGATAATGATTTATTTTCTTACTTGATTCCCGTAATAGGTTATGTATTAGTATTGTGAGGTTACGACTCTTGTATTCTATAAGCCTGTTATCGCATCGCATTTAATGTTTGTAGAATAGCGGTTCGGATATTATATACTGGAAGTAAAAAAAACAATTGTTATGGTTGAATCAATTATTTAAAAAATCTGGTAATTGCCGAATATTGGACTGGACCAATTCAAAAAAAATATAGGGGGCAGCATCAATAATAAATATTTATAGGAGGGTATGCACGTTCTATACTCATATAGAAATCTGAGCTTAGCATAATTGCGCCGTCAGTCCCTGGATGTTTTTTTTTTGATTAAGAAACCGGATGATCACTTAAAATCCGGGATAAAAAATGTATTCTTATCCCGGCTGGTCTTATTTTCCTTTGATGATCTTTTGAGATCATTTGAGGTCGAATTCTTAAACTTCACAAGTGGTTTACATCATATTTTAATAGATTCATTTGAATTGTTTGTTTTTAAATATCATGTTTTTTAATTATCGATTCAAACTTTAATTTTAAAAATTTCCAATTAATTTTGACGCCATTATATAAGATACTGCACTACTAGATCGCGAAAGAAAAATTTTAAGAAAGGTTGGTTTATTTTTTAAAAATAATATATGTTCAATTAATAAAATTGCAGAGGCAAATATCAAAGAATTTTTTTTTAATTGCTATCTAAAAGTATAATATCTATAGAAGGAATAATCCATGGATTTAATTCATAAAATGCGAAAAAATGTATTCTTACCCCGGATCTTGATCATCCGGGATTTAACCAAAAATAATCCGTGTTGAATCCCGGACTTTTGTATAGGATGGCGCCTCATATTGCAAAAATATATGCAAAGTAAATGCGATTGAAAATATATATCATTGACCCACCAGGGGTCATTTTATTGAAAAAAGAAAAAGACAAAGGAGAAAACCAAACAAAAGAAAGAAAAAAAGAAATAGAGAGGGAACAATAAAAGAGATTAATGGGTAAAATCTAAGATTACAATAAATTACAAGTAAAAATATAAAGAAATACAAAAAAATATTAAAAATAAATTATAAATAAAATATAATCTAAATCATCTTTTTGCCGACCAGCGGCATAAATTTTCAATCTTAAAATTATGTTGTCCTCGCCTAACAACTTTATTGAGAATTTTGAGGTCGCTGCGAGCTCCCTAGTTGCCTCCGAGTAACAGCTCATGGAGGGGCCCACTATGACACCGATAGTTTGTTGTTGTCTAGTTAGCACCCCTTCCATTTCGCGTACTACGGCGGGACCTATAATCATACAACATTTATTAATTCTTACTCAAACTAATAAAACAAAACATTAAAACATATTCGAATAAAACATACTTATACTCTTCTTCCAGTTTTTGCATTGAATGACGAACTTTACTCCTCTCGTACGACAACTTTTATATCAATTCCTCCGTCATTGCGACCTCTGTATTATATATAATAAAAAATAAATCATTAAGGATATGTGTCATAATAATAAAGAATCAAGTTGTGCGTTCACAGTCATGTATGTCTACCTATTCACTACTTGGACGAAAATTTTACCAATCTTTATCCGGGATTTACTCGCCCTCCCATTAAGAAAAAAACATATTTACCTTTTTATTTCCTTTTTCCAAATTTTCTCTCTCTCAAAAATCGTATTTTCAAAGAACTTTGTATTCCACCTCAAATTTCGTATACGGTAGTGTGAGTATTTTTATTATTGTTTCTTCGTTTGAATTTTCTCTGGGGAAGTTCCCTACTTCTTGATCGATCCCGAGAATGCCTGCATTCTCTAAATTCAAATCGCCGTCTGTCTATTCGTTGCCTCAAATATGCGCGTCTTATTTGATCTAAAAATAAATAAATAAATTAATATATATAAATATATTTTTATTTAAACAAATATTAAATTTAAATTAAACCATCATTATTACTTTGAGGCAATCAAAATTCACCCCTCATCATTTCATAAAACTCAACGTCGAACCTATTTGGACTTCTTATTGGAAATCCTTCTGGATTTCCAATTCTTATTCGCCTACAATTTTCATAACCGCGAACCAGCGCGTTCCATTTTACTTGGCATTGTCTGCCACTGATTTGAATTGGATGGTACGAAAAACTGCCAAATAAGACCTCCACGTAACGAAGACAAGAATAGTAGGATAAAAGAAATATTTTGTATTTGGAATATAGTTTAAAACTTACTTTATTGGTAAACAAAAATAAGACCATAAAAAAAAAGATAAAAATCGTTTTATAAAATCAGTCACGTGAGTTCAAATAGGATGACATAATATTCGTCATTTATTACGCAAACTGATAATATATACCAAATTATTTAACTAAGTTGAATACATGTGACATAAACAAAACGCGCGACAACTGAAAAGTCAGCAAAAAGATATCAAAGATATCAAATAAAGAATACAATAATCTATAATTTATAGATTATAAACTATATGTGCCAACCAATCATATTTTAATTTATTAATAAAGAATTTATCATAACGATCAAATCAGAGAAATTAAAAATTTACCTTTGTAACGATAACCTATCTCCCTTATTCACATTTTCCTTTTTATTTTTTTTTTTTCGTATTCTTTATTCAGAAAAAACTAAACTTAATTAAATCAGTCATCAAGGATTAAATTTTTCATGTCGAACATCTAGTAATATATATCGACATGGCTTATGATAATTTATTTTAAAAAAAATTTAAAAGAAAAATCCCTAACTTTTATTGAGGATTATGAATTTAGGAAGGACATATAACACGACGCCGAACGTCACTTTTATTAATTTATCATAAATTGATTCTTTTTTTCATCAAGAAGTCATAGCTATAATTTGTTATTATTAAGTTAAAATGGTTTCAATTGATAATAGAAGTACACATATAACAAAAAAAATTAAGAAGGCAATTGCTTACTCAATATAAATTAAGAATTATTTCAAATTATGAAACATGAACTTATGAATGCGACGTGTAAAATTTATAATATACAACTCAAACAATTGCGACCAAACAATTACGAGATTGGTTAATTTCTTTTATTCTTTTGCATAGTATTAGTTGGAATTTCAACGGCGAACTGTAACCGGCCGGTAGACTGTTTGATCCTTTTTTATGCATATCCTAGTATACAAGTATATTTATAGAGATTAAATATGCAAAAGATCAAATTTTTAACCGAGGGCTTAATAAAAAAGAAAATTTGGCGCAAGAACCCCCACTGCTTATTTTCTTGCAAATAAATATAAGAATAAAATTAGCGAATGAACAAAATTAAATGATACCTAGTCACAAAATAAATTAGAAAATTAGTTATCACAGAACTTTTTTTGAAGAACAATCTAGAAAAAAAATTACATTGCAAAACTATGTAAATAAATAGAAAAAATTATTAATTCTTTTGGTAATTGGAATAAAACACCATACGTACCATACATACCATACAATATATACGGCGACAACCATACACTAATCTCCGAAAACATACGTTCCATACATAGAAAACCATCCCATATTGCAATATACCCATTTTTTGTTTAATCAATATAAGCCAATTTTTTTTTACTAAAAAAAATATTTCGTTAATACTTTATGCATAATTGACTTCTTGCTTCGGAGGTCACGTTGCAACTATATACCTCGATATAGAACTCGTTATCAAATAGTCACTCAATATTTTGCATGAATGTAAAATATTGATTATTAGAAACTAATGGGCATGTTATATTTTCATTTTAATTTTTAGTAAGGTGAATATGTATTTTTAGTATGCTATTTATACAAAAAAATCCGTTAAAATGTATAGTATGCTTATTAATTATTTGCATATACAATACTCAAAAAAAAATATACATATACAAAAATATTAATTTAAGAATATTAAAAATTCTAATTACTTATTTGTCCCTCTTTATATTTTAATTCAAGTTCTTTAACTCTTAGTTTATAATTACATTCTTTTTCCATTCATTCTTTTTCTAATTTATATTTTAATTCTAGTTCCATTTTAAATTTTTCTTTTCCCAATTCAGTTTTTCACGTTCAAAATTTAATTTTGCTTCTTTTTCTTCTTTTTTATTTAAAAATCTCAATTTTTAAATGTTCTTGAGAAATTTCAATTGCTAATTTTGTAGTTTCTTTTAATAAGTTTAATTCATCTAAAAACATTTGGTCAGTTTCAGAAAAATTTCTTTTTTTATACTTTAAATTAGTATTATTATCTTCTTCATTATTTTCAATTTGCTATTAATAATAAAAAATAATATATTAATAAAATACTTTATTTAATATAAAATATAATATTTAATATATTTATCTTATCAATACTAGATACAAGATAATCTGAATTTACATTTTCTCTATTTCTAAATAATTTATTCACTTCATTTAATATAGCTATTTTAATTTAGCCTTTCCAGTTTCTTCTTTATTTTCTTTTTCATATCTAGATTGTATTTTTAAATTAACTTAATTACTAAATTTATTATTATCAAATTTTATTGCAGCCTTTGCATAAAACTGTAATTTAATTTTTTGTGATATAGATCAAAATTTTAAGCAAGAAAAGAAAGTAAAGCTCTTGTTTCTAATTCTAACTAATATTTAAAATTTGGATGAATTTCATCATGATCTGAATAATTTTCTATAATTTTAACTTTATTATTTGAGTGAATTTGAAAGCAATCATTATCATTTTTATCTTGAGAAGATGATATATAATAGATAAATAGGAAAATTGGTTTATTGTAAAAAAGTTAAATATGTTTTAATTTTTAAAAATATAAAAAAAAGCTTTTCACTTGATTTATTTTTAAAAAATTTAAAAAAAAGTTTTTCGTGTTATTTATTTTTAAAAAATATATCTTAACAATAAGATAAATAATTTTTAAAGTAAAATTGTTAATATCCAAATTAAAAAAACTGTACAAAAATTTCATTATATATTAAGTCAATTCCTTATCTAATATGCAAAAGCTATTAAACTAAATAAACTTGATATATTACTACCATAATGCAATAATATGTGACTGATAAAAAGACTCATATAACTTAAATTACAATAAAAGGCAATTAAATATGCAATAAAAGCATAAATTTAGTTCAACCAGAAGTAATTATAAATTGTTAAAGAAAAACAAATATTCTTTCACTAAATACTTATAATTATAAAAGCATTAAAATTAATAATTTTATCAATTTTATATATTTTGATAAAATTAATAAAATAGATTTTATTATTTGATTAACTTTTAATATATATGAAAATCCAATTCCTGCTGAAGAACATTTGCAATATGAAAAAAAATAAACAATTCATTAAATAATAACTAATGAGAAATTATAGATTTAATGAAAAAATCAGAAGAAGAACCAAATAATAAAGAATCAGAAATTCCTATTATTAGTAATTATAAAGTATTAGTAATACTTAAAGTACTTAATCAAATAATCATTTATGCAAAACAAAAATCTGATAAAATTAATTTAAAGATCAAATTTGAGCAATAAAAAAATTATGTAAAGAAATAGTACTATTAAAATATATTTAATAGTTATAATAAAAAAAATTTACAAATTTTTTTTTACAAATTACATTGAATTTATATAATAATAAATATATAAGGATGTTAAATAAACTGGTTTCAAATTAGTTCAGTCAAATTTTTAGTTGCAATTTCGATTATATAGTGATCAAATTATGATTATTAAATAATTTTTTATAGAAATAATTAATGTTGAATCTCAGATTAATTAGTAGTAATTAATTGATTAATTCAATTTATTTAATTTTTATAATTCAAATTAAAATGTGAAAATTTCAATTGTAAAATTTTGAAATTATAAAATAGTTAGATTATTTTTTTAAATTATTAAATAATATATAATAAAAATTAAATATTTTACTAACTTATTGAATACTGATATATTTTGATATAATTTTAAATAAAAAAAGTTTTAACAGGTTGTATTTCTTTAATTCTTCAATTTTATATATTGATAATTTTTAAATTTTTCTTATTAAATAACAAATATCAAAAATACCTATCACAATTGAATGGTCTAATAAAAAAATATAATATTTGGTCAACTTAAAAAGAAAAAGAAATGATAATTACTAAAGAATTTTCAGAAGATTCAAGTTAATTTTTTGGAGTTATAAAGTAAATAAAGTATTGTAAATAAAAAAATAATAATATTTATATTAATTATATTTATAATAATATTTTAATAATTTTAATTTTTTTGTTGTTTAAAATATTCATTAATAGGAATATGAAAGGAAATATTAGAAAAATGTTTGGAAATCCCATTTGAAAAGATCAGATTAGAATAATAAACTTTTCAACTGATATTAATTGAAGAAAATCATTATTAAAATTAAATATTTATGTTTTTAGAATCTTAAGTTTAAAAAGAAGGTATATAAGATTAGTCATCAGAAATTAAGATATAAAATTTATTTAATTTAATATTAATATTATTTTAATATAAATTTATATTTATATTTTTTAGAATTATCAACTTCTTCTTCTTACAACTCCTTCTAATTATTAAATTATTTTATATTCTTTAAAATACAAATTAACCTATAAAAATCCTCTTTTTACTTTTCTTTTCACTATTATTGCTCTTTTTTTCATCCTCATAATTTTTTACATTTTCAAATAATCACTTTTTTCTTTATTTATCTATTATCTTCATTCACTCCTTTTCAATTTTTTTTTTAAATATTTTTTTTCTGAATTTTATTAAAAAAATCTAAATAAAACTTGCCATCTATATATAGTATTCAGAATCAACAGTTATATATTAATTTCTGATATGTTGACGTTTGATTACAATTTAATAGTAAATCTTATAATTAATTAAATATATTAAAAATTAAAATTTTTGAATCTCAATTTTATCAATTAAATCCTTATATCTTTTCAAAAATATAAAATACAATTTATTACTACTGATAGTCTTGTTTCAATATTTTATTATAAATCATTTGTTAGAAATTAGCTATTTTTTAACCAAAAAATATCTGGAAAAGCAAAACAAATAAATGTATCTATAAGATTAATATGAGAATTCAATTAAACTTAACAAAAAAGAACTTATTATACATATTATTAATACAAATAATAATGTTAGATCAGATTATATATGTAAATCAGACAATATAAAAAAGCTTATTTAATCATATCTGAAGTTGTAAATAAATCTTATAAGAAATTTTTTAATATTAAAATGTGATATTTAGTATCTTTAATTATATTTTTATTATTAAAGTTCATAATTAAACAATTATTATCAAATATAATATTTCATACTTTCAGAATAAACATTAACAAACTTTCAGTTTTAATTATAAATTTAAGTATTTAAATAATAATACTAATAATATTTTAAAATATATATACAAATAAATACACAGAAATTTTTATTTAAAATTAATAATAAAAAATTATTAGATTAAAGATATTTAAAATGGAAAAAACATTGTGAATTATATAATGATTCATTAAATAAAGTTTGAAAAAATAGAAATATTGAAAAAGTATAGTAGAAAAACTCTATTTGGGATGAATTATTTTATCACAATGATGTATTAAAAAATTATGCAGAATGATCAATATATAATATAACTAAATTGAATAAAATTCAGATAAAAATTAAGAATTTAGTCAAAATTTAAAATGAATATTATAATCATTGATATTAATTAGTATCAGATTTATTAAATAAAAAGAATAAAAAATAAATATTATTGAATTATTTATTCACCTTAAACAAATATATTTACTAAATTATCAATATTCTGATCGTGAATTAGATTCATAATAACAATAATTAGCTGTATAAATATAATATTATATATATAATTGTGAAATTAATTTATAATAGGCTAATATCAAAAGTCAAAACTAAAATATTGAAAGTCTAAACATTTCAATAAGTTTAAATAGAGTTAAAACTTTAGACTAATAAAATTAGTTATTCATATTTATCATTCGACAGGTAATCTAAATAAAGTTTTTTTTAGAAAATCTGTTGTTTTTTATAAAAAAAAAAAACTTTTATTTTTTAACTTTTGGATAGATAAAAAATTACTTAAAAACCTATTTATATTATAAACTACCTAATACAAAGAGAAAGGTAAGTAAAATATTAACTTTTATATAATATTATTAAAAAGAAAAAAATATTACTTATCTTCAATTCTTATTCAATTAGACAGTGATTAATCAGATACCTTTTTGATTAGTCACTTTTTTTAATAAGCAATTAATAAATAAAAATCAGTAAATATTATAATCAGATATGAATTAGTTTATACCCAATTCATAATTATTAGATAGAATTACATAAATATGTTTCTAACTTGATTTTATACTTATTTTAAAAAATTTGAAAAATATATACAATTATAAAAATTAGATTCAATTAACAATTAGTTATCAATTGAGAACGTTTCTAATAAAATCATATTACAGATCATATGGGAATATTTTTAGTAAAATCAAGTTATAAATCATATAA